GTGACCACGTGTTTCAGTTTTGCCTAGATCATTGTTTGAGAGAAATGATAACCCTTCTTCTACACCCTCGCCACCCTCAAGGCAAGATTACATTTACAGAGAAAATCTTAACTTACAGGGGAGAAGGTGGTCTGTTTATAGGTGAACGGAAATTGCCCAGGCTTATTTTGTTCTGGGAGGAGACAGAAAAAAAAATTAAACTAGGCTAGTGTCCTGAAGCTGTAGTTTTCATTTTAAATTTGATTGTCCTGGTCTCCTTTCTGCCTAATTTTTTTTGGTTATTCTACCTCAACCCCCTCCCCTGTCCCCACCTGACATTAATCCTATTCTTAAGGAGTGCAAAAGGCCTGACATTTTGTCTTCTTGTAATTGCTTTAGGCTGAGGAGGGGCACTAGCCAGGGATCAAAAGTCTCACCCTGACTGATTAAAAGAAGACAAAGGAAATGGATTTGTTGTTTGATGAAGGATCATCTTTTCATAGTCTGGAAAAGAGGACAAAGACATTAGCAAGTCATTGACACTTAAGCTTTGTTTTATACCCTGGTTTAACAGGTTGGGGACAGAAATTAATAGAATATTGATGAATAGTGGCTCTAAAAAAAATGGTTGAAGTCAGTAGCATTTGGCATAACCCTTTTATCTTTAACATTAACCTCTTCTTATTGAGATGTTTTCTAAATGTAACAGATGGAGTTTAGGAATACAGACTCCTCCCTATTTTGTCAATAAAAAACTAAATGTCTTTCTATTTTAATTATAACAATGGTGAATGAATATAATAAATAAAAATATCTATTTTCTTGACCATTTGGCCATTAAAATTTTTATTATAGGGCTTTATTTCGTAGACCTGAAGACCTTTTGTAATGATTGGCCCTAGATAATGTAAATGTATAAAGTCTGAAGTAGGTAACAAAATTAATAACACAAAAATAATAATGATTAGTAGCTAGAATATTTATATTGCCATTTTTATTTTATAGACATACCTATACATAAAGCTAAATCTTTACCTGAGTGGGACTTGAAAGTATACTCAAATACCATAATGGGAATATATTAAGAGAGGTGGAAGGATAGATTTTTGGAATAGCTAGTGAGACCGGTAATCAAAATTTGTTGCAGCTGTTAAGTTATAGGAGCAGCTGGAGACTGCCAGCATGGGCTGGTGTACTATTTGGAGCCCCTTTTTATAGCTAGCCTAGCTTTTAATTTAGTATTCCTATTCCTATCTAACTATGAAATTTCGGTTATGTGTTTTTGCTGGGTGTTTTAAGACTAGATTAAAGTGAGACTTACGTTAATTGAAATTAATTTCTCTATTTGTGAAGGACAGCTAAGCCTCCTCAGGGGTTATTTTTGTGGCCATAGGAGGAGCCTCTTAGCTCCTCTATAGTGTTTTTGTTTTATCAGGGTCTTCTGCCAGGACGAGTCACAGTCTTGCTTGACCATATGGTTTTCCTTGGAAGCATGGGGACGTTCCACTTTTTAGTGACCCTCCTTTTTGCAGTGTACACTGGTTGACTCTTGTCCTCTGGGGTCCAACAATCTACCTGCCTAGGAGGTTGGATAACTCATCAGAGTTGTAGAATCTTTTTAGAGGGGTCCCATCATGCCCTGGGTCCTGTTTGACCTTGGGGGGCAAAGGCCAAATATTGGCTGTCCTCTTAGTCATCTTTTTTTAGCTTTGATCTCCAGGACTTAGTTTTAGTTGTTGAACATCCAGGAGGTCAGTTACACCAGTATTGAATTGGGAACAGTGTCATAATTTCATCTGGACATCAAGCACTTTGAAATACAAAGTATAGCCAGAGAACTGCTGTTGTTTTTTGTTGTTGTTGTTTATTTTTACCTTTGTCTTAGAATTCAAATTCTTGTAGAATGTTAACAGATAACAGTTAAAGATGTACACCATGCCTTTAAGAGCTCCCCTGTGTACTTTTGGAAAGAGAGAAAAAGAAAAAAGAGAAAAGTGAGGATCCTATTTAGATCAGTGAGGTCAGGCTATGTGCACAGCCCGCCTAATGTTGGGGTCACCCATGTGTGTAGCCTTCCCAGTTTCCCAGGGTCAGAACTGCCCAGGGTGGCAGATTTTCCCTGTTATCCCAGAGTCAGAATCACCCGCACTTGGCAGCTCTTCCCTGTTACCCTAGAATTGGAACTCTCCAGGGGGAGCAGCTGTACTCTGTTTTTCATCAATCAACTAGTCCGGGCAGCCCTGTTAGTCATGTAGAAATCTGTTGCTCATGTCTGGAATAAGTGTCCTTGTTCCTGGCACATCGCTAGCCCAAACTTCAACAGATCAAGAAAGAAGGAAAAGGAGCTGTACACAACAGCAGGACTTCACTAAAAATTTACCCCAAATATCTTTATATCTAGGGACCTGTAACATACATACAGAGGGAAGTTATGGAGGGTTTAAAAAGTCTGGATACGTCACTTAGCAACTATGAATCACATAGCAACTTGAGCCCAAAATTATCATAATACCAGAACCAAATAAGGTGATGGGAGGAAGCAAGCTAACATTAGAAAATCAACCCCAAGAGGCTCCAGGAAAAAAAAAATACCAATAGGCAGTGCTCAACAGGAAGCCCCGGGACCCGAGAAAGACATGGTAGACAGCTGAGAAGGCTGATGAAGAGCCCTTTCATTGTCACCTTTCTGCCTTTTATTTTTTTTAGCTTACCTTATTATGAAAGGCATCTTTATTTTTTTTATTTTTTATTTTTTTGCGGAACCAGGGATCGAACTCAGGACCTTGCGCTTGCCAGGCACCACGGAGCTAAACCTCTGGCCCTGAAAGGCATCTTTAAAACTTTTTAAAACCATGACCTATAAATAGGGGGAGAAAAGATGAACAAGAAGTATATGAAAACATACTAGGATGAATTAACTGGCAATTCTTAATTTTCTTTTCTCTATTTCCCAAAGAATTTTATAATTTTTAGGGTAAAATGTGTGAAATGATATTAAAATTATTTTAAAGTTATTGCTTTTTTAGTATAATCTGCTTTAAGGCTCAAGGGAGCCAGAACTGAGTGCCATTTCTGTTTAGCTTATGTTCAGAAAAGCACAACTAGAGGAAAATAGGATAAGCAAAGTAATTTTCCAAGCTTCTAAATTGATAGTTGATTTTATAAAAGCTTCAATAAATAAGCTCGACTTTTCTTTAGTTAGAGCATAATATCTAACATTCACACCCTAGTTTTTCATCAACTTTCTTGTGGTTGCTACAAATGTTCCAAAAAGGCTGAGTCTTGATCCAGCTAGCCAGTAAGAGCCCAGGCCGGTGCTCACGATGCACAAGATGAACTTGGTCGGTCTCCTTAACAGCCTCCCTACTTCGCTCTCTTTTCATCTACCAAACTATCTTTCCCCTTATCCCAGTGCTATGCTAGAAGCTGGGAAAAGAAGTGGGCAAGACTCATCCATACTTGGAAGAGTTGGGTCCCAGAGTCACAGAGGGAGACAGTAAAAAGGAATATCAACACCATGGAATCAAAGGGGAAGGCCACTAATCATGCGTGGGGCTTCGGTCACTAGCACAGCACAGGGATTTGGCAAAGGACAGAGATCTGGAATGAGCAGGTTGGCCAGGTAAGGGAGAGATTTAGGTTAAGAATATTTTGTACCTGAGCAACAGCAGGTACACAAGGACAGTTAAGGCAATGCGAGGGCACAGGGTACTAGGAAGGTGGATGAGAAACTTCAGCAGGGCTGGTGTCAAAGGTGTGTGTGTGGGTCCAGTTGGACAGAGTGGACATCACAAGTAATCACCATGTGAAGAGTCCACACTGAGGCATGTAGCAGTTTCATAGGATAACAGGCAATGGAAGTTTTGAAGCAGGGAAGACACCGGTTTCATATTAGGAAGACAATGCTAGTAGTGATGTGAAAGATGAGCTTGTATGCGGGGTAAGTGGTGGCAGGGATACAAATAGGAGGTAGCTGCAGTAGTCTGCATATTGCTAATAAGGGCTTTTTAGGGCCTTGCAGTGGAAAAGGAAGTGAGGGATGTTCTCAGGGAGTCATCACAAAGGCAGAGGTGACAGCTCTGGCTGACTTGTTGGATCTGGGGAACAAGAGAAGAAAAATCAAGGTTGGATGGCTGTGGCCATGCTACTAAGATGAGAAATGTTAGAGAAATGGACTTGGTGATGGAATAGAAAAAGATAATGAACTCAGATTATATAGGACGAGAAAATGTGCCTGAAGGCATTTAAGCACTTGATTAAAAGGATTTGATCTTAGACATAGTTTTAGACTGCCACTACCAATAAGGAAAGAGGTGACCGCACACAGAGGGAGGATGCTCTAGACATGGATAATGTCACCCTGGTGAACTACAGGACAGAATTCTTGGGAATAATAATAGTCAGTCCTCAAAATCAGATTGGATGGAGATTTGTCTGAGGGTCTAAACTGTATGAAGTGTTTTCTTTTCCATGTCGATACCAGGTGAATTTTCAGTTCAAGTATTTTTACTTTTGCTTTGTGTTTAGAAATGCAGTATAACAGGGAGGCTTTGAAATTGGTGAGACCTTGATTCCTGTCCCAGCCCTCTGGTTCAGGATGAGGCAGTTAAATCGCTGGCCCTTGTCTCCTGCACTGTGGAAGAGGGATGCTAACAGCTGACACTCAGAGTGGTTAGGGTTACAGCAGGATGTACGTCTGGTTGGCTATATAAATCCTCTAACTCAGTCTTACAGTTTATCATATAAGCTAAACCAAAAGGCTTCTCTTGGTAGGGACACATCATCTACTACATTGAAAATCTTCCGGCCTGACTCCCATGTTTTAATTTGATAATGTGTCTGTCTTGAACTGGCTCTGGCATTTCAATTATTAAAAGCAGAACAGCACATTACAAATGAAAGGGTGCATTTGTTTTTCTTTCCATTCTGATTTTTTAAAAAAATTAGTATATAAATGCTAGATGAATTCAAGTTCTCAAATATGCATATTATTTCCAGTCATCTGATTGAGACACAGTGGAATAAATCCAAGTAAAATTTTATTTTACTCTACAGCACAATATTTTACATACATTTGAGTGGTATTGATAGTGTTACTTTCGAGTAGACTTTCAATGAATCCACAAAACTTAACATATTAACAGGAAAATATGCACAATAAAACAACAGGTACCCAGATGTTCAGAATCATGCATACAGGGCTGATGTGACTAGTGTCATCACTAGGTATCTTGCCTTTTTAAGAATTCACCAGGAAGTGTCAGTTCTTCTGCTCCTCATTCCCCTACAACTCACCAAACAGCATTCTAAACATACACATCAAATAAATTATCTTTTAAAGCTGCATCAGTATAATTTTTCAGTTAATAAGCTTATTGTTGACTGGCAAGTCCAGTGAGCAAGCCCATTACTAGAAAAACAGGCAATATGGGCACCTGATCTAAAGGCAAGGTTATTTCATTTCTTAAAACACCAACAAGAGCGATTAATCAATAAAGCCACTAATTTGTTAATCTTAATATAAGACAATAGGGGCAAAACCAAAAATGATATATACATATATAAATACCACTCCACTGAGTCAGAATATAACTCATGGACTATAGACATGAGTTTCTACTTGTCAGTGTTTTAAATATTTTTCTGTTATACAAACAAAACAAAAAGCAATATACTGAGAGATGCAGAAGAAAGGTAGGAATGTGAATTTATACATCTAGCCCCACAATTTAAAATGATTATCAAACAGGTACTACAAAGCCAAGTGACAATGACTTCACCACTGGGCACCAAGCAGGCAAAAAAGCAATTATTCACTGCGACTCTCAATGCTCAGCAGATGGCTACCCCAATAAGACTATCGTAATACAGATGGATTACTCATCCCCTATTGAAAGAGACCCTGAAGAAAACATGGCAAAGGCATAGAGAAAAGTTGGATCTTTTGAAAAAGTGAATGATATCAAAATACTTTTCCATCATTGGTAAACCAAACTAGGTCCTGTATATGGCCCAAAGCAGCACTGAATTCAGAGTTAGAGGTTGGCAGAAGTTTGGAAAACTGCAGTGTTTGAAAATTGGCAATTTCTCCATATTTAATAAAACTGTCAGAAGAGGTATAATGTTTGTTCACTTGTGGAATGTTGATAGGTTGCTGTGAAATTCACAACATGCATGAGTAACCACAGAGATTTGCTTCAATGAAGTATATTTTTTTAAATTTACAAAACCCTAAAGCTACTATTTAAAAAACAACCATGTTATGCCGAGATGAAACATGGTAAAGAGTTGTGTGAGTTCTGTCCACGATTCTTTACACAGTGAATGGGAAAGTGATAAAAACAATTTTTCCTCTTAAAAAGGAAATTTTCTTATTGCACTGACTTTTACAACCTCACCTAGAAATTTAGAAAAATCATGTAGTAAAATCTGTAAAATTAAAATACAAAATTCTGGTTTGTAAACATCAGCTGGCCAAATCTATCCAGAGTCCTTCATAACAGTGGGATGTGGGATGGAATGAATAATTGATTCTCTACTTATTTGTTAGCTGGGAGGGGTGGGGGTGGGCAATCCCAGAACAAGCTTTTATACTTTCACAGTAATTCTATTCAAAAGACATAAAGAAAGTCAGTGCAGTTGCTTCATTTTTTTCCCCTGTGCAATCTTCACCTCTTGCCCCACTCCTAAGTGCCACAGCTGAGATGATACTGGCCTGGAGACCTAGCACGGACTGGTCACAGATGGCGCATGAAGTCTGCGGGACTTCGGTACAGGTATTTCCAAATGGCGTAGTAGTGCACTGCAGCTGCCGTGGCCACGAACAGGTGCCAGATGGCGTGGGCAAATGGAATGATGCCGTCGCTCTTGAAGAACACAACTCCCAAGCAGTAAATTAGGCCCCCACAGGCAAGTTCGTGAAGACCGTCGGTGTTGTTCTGTCAAGAGGAAGAAATAGAAGTTTGAAGTTATTGTGATGTGACAAGCTGCAGCGGTAACTGGCATTCCTTCTGCTCCTGAATTTCAGCTCAGTGTGGCCAGAATGCTAATCTGAAAATATCAACCAACCAGACAAAGTCTCTTGTTTTTGACCTGGATTACCCTCTCAATTGGTCTGGATCACATCGAACATTACAGCCACACACCACAAAGCAGCACGTTCTGCTCATTTAATGCATGCTTAAGCAGACTGCAATCAACAGAGGCTTAGAAGATCACTTTAACGAAGTGCAATTCTTGCTTCTCATCTTCCCCTTTAAAAGCTTCCTCCCCTAGGCAGGCAGGCCCAAACTACTCCACTTATAATTTACCTCTCAGCTGGGGTTTTTACTTCCCTTGGACCTCTTCAACCGCTGTTCTATGACCATGGCTTTTTCAGACTTCCTGGCTTGTGTGAGCATATAGCTTCCTTATGGCTGACACAGGAAAATTATAGCTCGAAAGGGACATCCAAGGCCATAGGTATTTCCCTAACTCCTGGATTCCTCCAGGCCTTTTTGTCTTTGAGCTGAGCAGGACGTTAACATGAACAGTCTGATGTGTTTTTTGACAAAAAGAATTTTTTCAGGCTGTTCTTGGTTTTCGGAATCTAGGTCCACCTATAAGATTAAAGTGGCTTGTATGAATGAGAGTGCAAAGAAAAGAGGCAGTGCTTGGAAGCTGACAAAGAAACAAGTCAGTGCCCTGATCTCCAAGGACTAGCAACAGAAAGGCCACAGGATCTGCCGGCCTGGGTACTGACTACAGCAGCCTTGTGAGCCTCACAGCAGGTCCTGTGACCAAGCCTAGCAAGAGCAAAGGGGAGCTGAACTCAGCCATATGCTTCAAATGGGCCATGGGCCTGGGCTGAAAGCAATGATAACAATGGAGGAGCATGAGCAAAGGACGAGGTGTGAGGATCTGTCTTATTTTTAACATGCATCTTAAAGGTAACAAGGATTTTGTAAGAACAAAAGAAGGGGAAGGAGCCAACCCATGTTGACTGATCAGATTTCTTATCCTTAACAACAATGGATTTCAGCCAGATTTTTAAAAAAAAGAAACAAAAAAATTAATGTATCACAGACATTTATTACTTCCTAAAGGTAATAGAGCAACAAATATCTATTACACAAAATTCTCCATGCACATCAGGAACACATTTCTAGGAGAAGATTAAGGTTTTCATCAGATTCTCCAAGGGGTGCAGGACTCAAAGTAATAAGAGCGATTTACTAACACAACCATTTTATTGCAAAGAGGAGGAAACTTGGACCAGAGCAGTGAAGTGAGCTGAGCAAAGTCACAAAGGGTCACCGTCCCGCTCTTGCTTTGAGAGGCACCCCTGTGATTCTGGCTAGGTTTTGACAGACACCACTTTTTGTTTGTTAAAAGAAGCAGGAGACCAAACCAAGTACACAAGTTGGTTTTGACACACACACAAGCTGTTAATAGTTCACTGAGATACCTGACCAACTTTCAAAGACTAAGAGTTATTTATTTGTAAAATAGTTTCTCTCCATTATCCATGTCATTATTGTTAGTAACATTTGTAGCACTTCCCTGTATCTACTCATTTTAATTTCCACAACAACCTTAATTAGGTCCTGTTATTATCTCCATTTTACAGATGCAAAAAACAAAAACATAGAGAGGTTAAGTAATGTGCTCAAGGACACATAGCTTCCAAGGGACAGAATCAAGATTTGAATTAAGGCGGTCTGTCTGGTTCCTGAACTTTTATTTGGTGGGGCTGGGGGAAAGGTATTAAAAAGTTGATGACTGATTGAAAGAGTAATGCACAGATCTCAAGGGAATAACATGACTTTTGATAAATGTACACATCCCTGTAACCCCAACACCCCTAAAGTTCTTTGGAATCCCTTCCCACCGCTGGACACCCCCAGGGCCCAAGGTAACCACTGTTTTTATCACTGTCAGCCCAGACCAAGTCCATCTGTTTTAGAACTTCACCTAACATACACCATATACGCATTTCTGCGACTGGCTTCTCTTCTCCTCAGTCTAACATTTTTGGAGATTCATGCATATACTATTGTATACTCATGCATCTCACTTTATTGCTTAGTAGTCCATTGATTTATTCAATATAATTTATTAATTCTTTCTCTTTGGGGCCTACTATGAATAAAATGTTTACATTATTTTGCAAGTCTTTTTGTAGATGCATGTTTTCTTTTGTTGGGTACTGCCTATTGACTCACTGAATAAATATATGTGTAATTGTTATAATTAAGCAATTTTCTGAAATAGTTATGTTTTATATTTGGCCCAACAATATATTAGGAGGTTTCCGTTACTTCACACCCTTGCTAGTACTGGAGTGTTCTGTCTTTTTAATCGTAATCATTCTCCAGGGTGTACAGTGGTAGCTCACTGGGGTTATAATTTTCATTATCCTGATGGCTGATGGTACTGAGCGTCTTTTCAAAGGTCTACTGGATGCTTGTGTATCTTCCTTTGTGAAATGTTCAAATATTTTAATCATTTTTATAGGATTGTCCTTTTATTATTGATTTGGAGATATATACGTAAAGCACACAAACACGCACAGAGTTTTAAAGATTGTGTTCCTTGTCATGTATAACAAGAGTGAATACTTCCTCCCTGATTCCAGTGTGCCTACTCATTTTAAGGGTGTCTTTAAGGATGAGCAAAACTTTTAAAGTCCAACTTAGGGTACTTTTGTGGCCCAAGAAACACATACTTATCCCAAAACTGGGATAATATGATGCTCCTATGTTTCCTAAAGTTTCTATGTTTTCTAGAATCTTTATAGTTTTGGCTTTATAGTTAGGTCTTTGAGCTACTCAAATTGATGTTTGTGTATGGTGTGAAATTGAAGTTCATTATTTGTTCCATACCATTTCTGGAAAAAACTTCCAATCTCCCGTTGAATTACTTTAATTCTAAATATATGCAAATGTAATTACTTCTTTTAACCTTGTATCCTCCCACCTTGCTAAATTTGCCTTGGTTCTAGTAACTTTTTGTAGGTCTCTTAAGATTTCCTATATACATACACAGTATTATTTTTACCTTAAATGTTTGATAGACTTTATCGGCGAACCAATCAAGGCCTGGGGTTATCTTTGTAGGAAGTGTTTTGTTATGGATTTAATTTCTTTAAAAGATATATGACTAGCCAGATCTCCTTTCTTCTTGAGTCTTCTGTAGGGAAAACTGTCTTTCAAAAAATTTGTCCATTTCATCTAAGTTGCAAATTTTTGGGGTAGAAAGTTGACTTTAAAGGAAAGAAGGGAAAGGAAAAATGCTGAGAAGGGGAAAAAATGGAAATAAAGTCTTTGTAAATAGGGTAGGGTGGAGGGGGTGAAGGGAGGGCTAGGAATGGGGAAAAAATAAGAACCAAGGTGCATTATGTAAAGGTACAATTCCCAATGAGAAATGTAATTGTGTTGTATATCTAAAATGTACCAATAAAAGAATTTAACAAAAAAAAAAGAAGTTGATTTAATATATCTTCTTTTTTATCCTTTTAATATCTGTAGGATCTATAGTGATGCTCCCTGTTTTATTCTTCACAATGGTATTTTATGTTTTCTGTGTTTCTTAGTCTACCTAAGTTTTACCAACTGTAGTATTTTCAAAGAATTTCTACTTCTATCAGTTTATTCATTTTCTATTTCACTGATTTCCATTCTTAATTTCCTTACTGCTATTTATTTTGGGGTTAATTTGTTCTTTCTTAATAGCATACAGTAGAATTTCTCTTCTTTTCTAATTGTGTTAGTCAGAGTTCTTCAGAGAAATAGAACCAATAGGATATGCATACATCTTTGTATGTGTGAGAGTGTGTGTATTGTTTTATTTTAAGAAATTGGTTCATGTACAAGGTGTGGTAGGACACGCCAATAATCTCAGCACTCGGGAGGCTGAGGTAGCAGGATCACTGTGCGTTCAAGGCCAGCCTAGGATACATAGTGAGAATCTGTTTCAGAAAAAAAGAGAGAGAGAGGAGAAGGAAGGAAGGAAGGGAGGGAGGGGCTCATGCAATTATGGAACAGCAAGTCTGAATTCTCCAGAGCGGGCTGCAGGCTGAAGGCCCAGGAAAGGGCTGATGTTGCAGCCCAAATCTAAAGATGACAGTCTAGAAGCAAAAACCCTCCTTAGGAGGACCTGTCTTTTTCTCCGAATGCTTTTTAATTCCTTGAGGTCTACCCACATTATGGAGCATAATCTGCTTCATGCAGCATCTACTGAGTTAAATAATAATCTCACCTAAAAAGTACCTTCACAGCATCTCAACTGGTACTTGACAAATATCTGGGTACCCATGGCCTAGCCAAGCTGACAAAATTAGTTATGACAACAGATGCATCTAGGGCAGTTCATTTTCTTACTAGCACTCCTCAGGCTGCAGCTCACCGTCAGGTTGCATTTTTATTATCATTCCGTCCAGAGACTGATTTTTAGTTACAAATGCACTGTTTAATTTTCAAATATTTGGGAATTCTCCACATCTTTTTTGTTGTACAATTTTAATTCTCTGACATTCACTGAAGATTATTTTATGGCTTAGTATATTATCTATTTTTTTTTTTTTGGTACCAGGGATCGAACTAAGGTACTTGCTCCGCGAAACCACTGAGCTAAATCCCTGGCCCCATTTATTATCTATTTTGATCAAAAGAATTTGTGCACTGTAGTTTTGGGTGGAGTATTCTGACATGCCAATTAGGTTAGTCCCATGGATTTTGTTATGCAAATCTCTTACTACTTCATTTATCCTTGTTTTTAATTGCTCATTCAATTACTGAGAGGATTGTTAAAATCTCCAATTGTATTGTGGATTTGTTTCTGTTTTACTTCTAGATTTTGTTCCATGTGTTTGAAGCTTCCTTGCTAGGTGACACACCACTGCAGATGGAACAGCCCTTTATTATGAAATGCCCTTCTTCACCTCCGTTAAAAGTCTTTGTCTTCAAATCTGCTCTGACTGACATTAAATAGCCATTTATGTTTTCTTATAATAGTTTTTTCACAATGTTTTCTTTTCTATCCTTTGACTTTTAACCTGTCTCTTCATATTTAAAGTGTTTCACTTTAAACAGCAGTCTTGCTTTTTTAAAATCCAGTCTGAAAATCATTGCTTTTTAATTGAAGTGTTTAGTTCATTATCATATAACTATTATTCTATATAATACAGGTAATTATTGATAGCTGCTTTTACGACTCTCATCTTACAATTTGTTTTCTATTTTGTTTCATCTATGCTTTTTGTTCCTATGTTCCTCTTATCCTGACTTCTTAGATTAAATTGAGTATTCTATTTTATCTTTTTTCTTGGCTATTTAGCTATACTATTTACCTATTTGCTATGTTTTTTTATTTACAGTTATTTGGTGGATGACAAAGTACATCCTTATCATAATACAACATATATAAAGTATTTAAAATTTTTAAACTTATTACAGTAAAAAGACACATTTCCATTAATCCCCCTTAGTTCGAACATTTTATTCTTGCCACTTTCTGAAGCAGTTCTAGAAGTCCTCTTTTGTGAGCAGCTTTAGTTGAGCTGCCATGGCTGCCTCTGTGTCCGGAATCATCTCAAAATGTTTACCTTTCAGGTCATTTTGATTTTGGGGAAGAGTGTTGCACAATGTCAGATTTGGTGAATAAGGTGGCTGAGCACACACTGCAATGTTTTTATGAGCCTCCTTTTCCGTTGGATCGTACTCGACAGCAGCAGTCACTGTATTTTTTATCATATGTCATAAAGACATTCATTAAAGAGGATATTCAGAACAGCGTCAGAAAGTGGCAAGAGGCCGGCGTGGTGGCACCTGCCACATGCCTGTAATCCCAGCACTTGGGAGGCTGAGGCAAGAGGATTGCTACAAGTTGAGGCCAGCCTGGGCTACAAAGCAAGACCCCGTCTCAAAAACAAGCAAAACAATAAAAACAGAAAGTGGCATTAACAGTAAGATAAGTAAGTGCGTTTGAATGAAGGGAGAGTATGCTAAGTTGGATTAAATGCAATGCATCTTTTATTATAATTTTAAAAATTTAAATGTCAGCTCTTGTATACCTTTATTATTATATGTCGTCTCACACAAGGATGAGGCCTTTACAGCAGTGTACTTCACTTTCTCTATTTCCACCTTTGTTGTCATATATTTTACTTCTTCGTGTTGTAACTCTTCACTTACCTTCTGAAGAAATTAAGATATGAAAAAGTCTTTTGTATTCACTCACAAATGTATCATTTTCAGCACTTTTGATTTATTTTTAACAGTAGTGTTATGAGTTGAGTTTCAGCCTGCAGTTGGTAAGGTTTTTCCTTTCATTGTTTTAAGGTGCCATTACACTGTATTCTTGCTCCCCAATTCTGCTGAGATGCTATGGTCATTCTTCTCTCTGCTCTTTTCCTCCAGCTGATTTTAAGATTTCCTTCTTCACCCTTCAGTCTATTTCTTTTTATGTGTATCCTGCTCAAGCTTCATTGCGCTTTGTGGATCTGTGGCTTGAGATTTTTCACCACTTTTGGAAGTTTCAATCATTATTACTCTTAAACTTCATTAGACAACTTGATATTGTCTAACATGTTACTAAGGCGCTACTCATTCTTTAACTACTCTTATTTCCCTTGTGTTTCAGTTTGTGTAGTTTCTATGGACTTGGCTTCAAGTTCATTGACCCTTTCTTCTATAGTAACCAATCTGTTGTTAAACCTCTTTAACACATTTTTTCTCTGCAAGACAGTACAGTTCTTAAGACTTAGAGTTTCTATTTGGTTTGCTTTTAGTCTCCATTCATTTCCTGAGATTCCTCATCTGTTTGCTCATTATGTTGTAACATCCTTGCATACAAATTTCAACACCTCTGTCATGTTTGGGTCTGTTTCTCTTGACTTTTCTTTCCTTCGGTATGTGTCATTTTCCTGTTTCTTGCCTATCTGGGGGTGTTTATTTAGATGGAGGCTGCCAAGTTTGTAGAGTGTAGATTTTGTTGTCTTCCTCTGTGGATGGTTTTGTTCTGGCAGATGGTTTATTTACTGAAGGATCAATCTGACCATTTTGAGGTTGGTCTGGGCCATAGTTATGACAGTTCTAGACCAGCCATCAGTCTCGAGCTAGGGTAGCACTGCCTCCAAGGTGTGGCTTTGGTATGGTCACCTGAATGCCTGCGATGCTCAGCATGACTGGTTGAAATGCCAATGCCTCCTAGCACTGAGCATATTCTGGAATCTCTATTTGTCTCAGGGCCTTCAAATAGTTATTTTCAACCAGAGCTTGCAGAGCCTTGCTCAAATCTGGCCAAGGAAACTGTTGTATAGATTTCTGGAGCTGGTCCCCTAAGTAGCTCCCTTCTCTCCATCTCCCTCATGCCACAAACTGCAGCTGTCTTAGTCGGAAATGCCAATTTCTGTTTCTTCTTCCACTTTCTGGCCTCCATTTCCTTTTGTGGCTATTTGGAAAGTGTCCAGGGAAGCAACTAGTTAGAACTTGAAGTTTATTTTTGGTTACTCTTCCCGCAAGATCATAGTCCTGAACCGTCTCTGTCTGTGTCCTATGCCAAGAAATAGTTCCTTTGACTCCTTCCAGTTTTATAGTTCTTTGTGGCACATGGGTTAAAAGCCTAATGGCCATGAATCTGACCAGAAACAGAGTTCTGAGTCTTCATTCGCACTGGTACTGTTGGTTCAGATGGCTTATGCGATCCTTTCTGAGTTGGACTCTGTCTAGCTCTCCAACTTTACCACAAGGTTTATGCCACTTGCATACTACCCACCCTACACATGCACAGAATATACGTGAAGTGATTAAAAAAAATATAGCAAATATGTATTACTGTAAAAGACATATTGCCATTGATTCCCTTCAAAATACTCCCCTTACTCTGAATACACTTATTCATTCCATCCCCCTTGTCACTTTTTGAAGCAGTTCCGGAAGTCCTTTTCGTGAATGTCTTCAGTTGTGCTGCTGTGGCTGCCTCGATGACCCGAGCCCATTCAAAACCTTTACCTTTCATAGTTGTTTTGACTTGAGGAAAGAACCAAGTCACACAGTGCCAGGCCCAGTGCATGAAGTGAATGAGGACACAAGCCTGCCTCTCCACTGGATGGCAGTCAGCAGCAGCACTGTTATTTCTGATCACGCCTCACAGAGACATTCATTCCAGAGAACTTCTAAAACTCTTTCAGAAAGTGGCAAGAAGAAAGGGACAAGTGTTTAAAATGGGGGCGGTACTTTGAGGGGAGTGATGGCAATATGCCTTTCAATGTAATAAGCATTTTTAGTTAAACATTCACGACATATTTGTAACACATTTTCAATTTAAAGAGCATGTATCTTGATCGTCTCTTGTGGACTCCGCGTCCCCCAGCCCCGGCTTCTCGGTGCTCTATTCCCCAGCACTTGCTTTCCTCTGACCATCTCTTAGCTCATACTCGTCTTTCCAAATCAGCTCAGCCATCGCCTTTATACTTACTTTGGTTTTGTGTTCCCATAACAGCCTGAACTTTCCCCAAAGACATTATAAAATTTTATTATGGCCTCTTATCCAGTACGAATTGTATCTGCCTGTTGAAGGCAGTGTGGGGATTATCCTGTTGGGTTATCACAAACATCAGTCATCTACCACTTATGAAAATGCCAATTAAAGGTTTGGTACAGTAAACATACTAGACAAACCTGCTCTTATAATACCCAAAGGGAATTTACCTGAAATTCTATTCTAATAATTAGTAACTTATCTAGATAGACTTTGCTTATATTGCTCTGGCTGTCCTGAATTACCCTCTAATTATACTGCTATCGTGGCCACTTTCTCATTTCAGCAGTTTCTCTCTCTCTCCTCACCATTCTCTGCTACCTTTACCAACTAACTCATATGTACTTTTGATACTACGTAATTACTAAAGCCTTTGTAAACCTCCTATGTCAAAGAAAACACATTTTGTTACATATTCATAAGGCACAGTCCCTGAAAAAAAGAAAAAAAACCAGAACAGAATCAGGTTTAACTCCTACAGGTACATTTGTGACCAAGGCAAGTGTGCTATATATAGTGTAATTATGTCCTTATGTTGCTCCTATGAGTTCAGGAGCAAAATCACAGATACAGCTTTTCTGACCATTGCAGGTGGAAAGAGAGTTCAAACTAAACACATGGAAGACTCTTTAATTATTACAGTGGTTAGTGACAAAGAAATCAGAACATAAGACACTGGAGTACATAAACTAAAGGCCCAAGTAACCAAGTATTATCATTGAACTCATAATACTACATATTATGTTTCAAATATGTTTCAAAGTGGCAGACACGCATAGGTTTTTAAACAATAATTCAATGTGAAAAGGAATTCAAAATCTACACTGGCTACTAAAGAAGTTCTCAAAAGGTAGTTTGAGCAAAGTTAAAAAAAAACAATACTTTCATTGGGAAGAAAGTATGACTTAAAAGCAAGTGAAAGAAATATTAACAGGAAAGAGATCTGAAAGATATCCAATAGAATGCTGAAGCTGATGCCTTTCAATGTCCTTTTAATTGTTGAGACTCTGCAAGTTGGTAATTTGTATTTTTTTTTCTTTCATTTTAAGATACCTCCAAATTTGCCCTTCCAGAGAATTCGGATTGAGAAGCCAAGCAGTTGAAGCAGAAATATCCACCTTCATGTCATCACATACCTCTTTGGGAGAAGGGTTGAGAGGGTGGCGGGATGAAAAACAGATTATCCAAAAGAAATAAATAAATACTGAAGAATATAAAAAGGGGAGAACATACTCAGGTGTACAGTCTTCCCAATCTTAGTACCTACTGCAAGTTGCTGGCACTCTGTATTCTTCGTGCTTTTGCTTTTAGTCTCTAGCTAGCTAATGGACATGTCCCAACTTCAAAAAAGTACAATCATGTAAGATTCTCCCCAATTAAAAACAAAATGACTAAAATTATGAAGTTACTTCTTACCATTGACGTCACCACCAAGGCTGGAGAAAACCCCATTGTGAGATAGAAAAAGAGCTCAACCACTTTATACCTGCAAGAACAGAAATACAGCTAATTTGGTTTATGTATTTAATAGTTAGATCATTTACATGCCAGCTTTTCCATTTTTATTTTAAAAGAGAAATATAAACTTTTAACTACTCAAATGAAATGCATTTCTCAGTAGGAGACCACTAGGCCTCCACCCATCATACCCTGATTGAGTTAACAATGGGCCAGCATTTCTGCCAGGACTAAAAAGGCATGAAACTCCACATGCTACCTAGAAAATGTTTTCTGCCAAAAGTACTGTAGTTAAATGGAATTAAATTCACCCTATGTCTTTCCCTTTCCAGTCTTAGTGTGTTTCCTTCCCTTTCCTGTCTTTTCAATCTAGAGCTATGCTGAAGTGAAGCTGAAGACAGATGGAAATGCAGCTTGGGGGCTCGTTTGGTCAGGGGTAAAGGAACAGCAGTCGTGAGGAGACAGCTTCGTCTCTTCATTTTGCATTTGTACAAACTACAATTTCCGAGGGTCATCACATTGTGAAATACATGAAAGATATGAAAACTCTAAGAAACACACTGTATTAAAATTCAACTTACATTTTTGCCCAATCCAACTATACTATAAGCCTCAAAGGCAGGCACCTAGTTTTACTGACATTTGGATCGGCAGAGCCTAGAATAGCACCTGACACAATTAGTACTTCTTCATTTCTGCCGAACTAAATGGCCAACGTGACTCACACTTCAGTCTCAATATTTTATACTCAAAACCTACCAAGATACCAAGAAGCAACAACATCAGGAGAATAGGTTCAAGGGTTTGGTTTACATGAGAAGGCCTGGAATAAGAGAAATAGCTGCCTTATTTTATTTCCTATTTTTATCCAAGGGTGTAATTTAGGGGTTTGAGTGCAAGAAGCAAACTGTTCCCTTGAATTTACATATGCTGCATAATATCACTCAGCATTGCCAATTATGATCACAGGGTGTTTAAGTTAATTTCAAAATCAGAGAAAATTAGTGAAAACTACCATTTTCTTCTGAAAGGAGAAAATAATACAGTGACAAATACAAATTATGTTCAATTTGGAAAGCCACTCTGCCAACCATAATAACGAATTTAATAAACTGTGATTTAATCAATCTAATGACAATGATTTCATGGTGGTGAGTTTCTCAAATTCAAGCATATGAGATAATAAAAAGCTATAGAAGAGGAACCGGGACACTTAGACTCTACTTTCCAGGTGAGTCACTTATTTGATGCATAACATGAAAGTTCTGAAATTGACCTTGAAGCTTCTGTAGGACCAAGATGATAAGTTTCAATGAGCCTTTTCTAAAATATTACTAAACACTTATGAAAATGAGCTACAAATAAGTGGTAAAGAACTGTGTACCAGGGCTAAAATATTAAGGGTTTAGATGTCCTTTCACGTGGCCCTTTTCTCAGGGAAGCCTATTTGGAACAAACACTCTCTAGTTTCTTAACTAGGTAAATATGCTGGGCACTTAATATCTGTCACCTTCACAGAAACATTACAAAGGGTTACCTGTATCGGGTGGTGAGTGAATCTCAGAGGGTAAGGCTAGCTTGCCTCAGAATGAGACATGAGGTCCTACTGACTCAAAGTGACTAAGCCATCCCGTCTCTCATCCACACTGTACCACACATGTGCCTTTCACTCAGTCCCACAGCAATCTGTCCACAAATGATGAATACTAAATGCTTTCAAAGGTTTATTTAAAGTAATATTTATTCTATCTATGTATTTCTACTATTTTGAAGAGAAAAATAGGAAAGAAATTAGATTGTGAACCAGACAAAATTTAGGCAACTAATTTTAAAACTATCAAATGTAAATTATTTTTTCTTACTTTTCATGGTAGAGAAATACATAAATCGTTCCTCCAGCCGCCATGAGCCAGATAAACCAACGCATATGAGCTGCCAGTGGTCCAAGTTCTCGGAGATTTAACCTACCAATGAAAGCATGATAACAAAGAACAGACGGGATAATGAAAGAAATTCACAGAAATTGTGTTTTCCTCTAGTCCCTGAAAACTAAGAAAATGCTAGGATACAATCAGGAAGAAAAGGCACTCAACACAGAAGATGAAAATTTGAGTAAAATTAGTAACTCAAAGATAAAATTGTCAGTCGACCTTTAAGACTTAGAATTAGTTTCTGCGTGGTTTAAAAATAGAACCAGCTAAAAACAGACATGTAGAAGTGAGTCCCAACATACCTGTCATGCCTGACTTTCCCTGGCAAGGCAAGGCAGAGGGAGGTAAAGACTGCTTGCCTTTTTTATCTCTGACCATGAATTTGGGAGCACACTGCTTACACAGCTTAATGAGAACTCCTAAGAAAATCCTGAGCCAGGATCACATAGTCATAGCACATACCTAGTACCCAGAGCACACATATCCATTACTGACCTCTCTGCCAAGACCGAACACAACAAGAATGATCCCAACGTGTGTGGAGGATGCTTTGCTAGAATTTAAATGTGGAGTTTTGTAAGGTCTAAATTTTAAAATGCTGTAGATTCATTTATACTAATGTCCTAATACAAATAAATATAGAGGAAAAAGCCCAAATGTTCTGATTGGCTGTCGCTACAAATTAAAATTCCCAAATGGAAAAGGTACTACTTGCATGTCTAACACTGTATGCGAACAAATTGCCTACTTTGATATTTGATTCCTCAGCTCAATTTAAATATTTTTATTACTTATTTGCTTATTTTAAATTGAAGTGTACTTCACAAAAGTCTTCAAGCATTTTTGCTCCAATATGAATCAGACCTATAATTTAGTCAGAGGTACTGAGGAGAGCTAGCACTTACTTTTTATTCTAACAGATAATTATGTTTCTTTTGAATGAGGCTGCTTTCCCAGAATCTAGAGGCCTGCTGTTTTCAAGGACTACAGCAGGTGATGACATAACACAAACTTCTGAGGGTTTCAAACCGGACCATGTCTTGATAGAGGAAAATTAATGTATCTTTAGTCATAGGTTTCAGTTCAACAAAAGATTATATTCGCTCTGTACCAAAAGGGCAGGCAGTAAGACAAAGGAAACTAAGCAGAATGCTAGGTTAACAGATTTGATTAGTTAGCCTAACTCAGCAAAATCAATAGAAATGTGCCAGTGCATAGTAGCTACTGTACTATAAACAGAGAAGACAAACAGTATAAATTCCCAAAGGAAGCTTATTTTCTTCATTCTGTATACATTTACAGCATTTCCCCAATTTCTAACTATTCTGAAAAGCAGGTATGCATGGAGAGAATACTGAGGGTTGGAGGGACAAAGCTTATATGTTTCAAAAGAAGCATGAGATCTAAACCCAAGTTAATAGTGTTTCTTCTTAAACAATCCAATGCCCAGATATTTACTCCAAGCAGTGTTTTTCCCTTCTGTCCCTTGTTCCTTTCTTGTGACCCAAGTAAATCACACTGGTAAAAAAATGCATGCAAGTATGTGTTTGGGAGCGAGGGGTGGTTGCATGCATGAGGCCTGGGGCAGGGACAAGAGAGCAGGGAAGGAAGGAAGGAACGAGGAAGAAGGAATCCTAACAATAGAAATGCGTTCTTCAAGGACAGAAACATTTTATCTTACCATGGAGCGTAAGAAGCAGCAATGAAAAAATAGATAACCATTCTATCACACATGTGAAAACAATGTTCCACTGTCCTAGAGAGGGGGGAAGAAAACAAGTTAGATAAATTATTACAGATTGTTTTCAGAAGTATGAGTTATCAGTCCGCAATGCTGCAATTTCCATTCCTGTTCTAGTTTATCGTGGCATTTGTAACTCGCCCTTCAAAGCCAGATTGTGTTCTTTTTAAATGATATGAAGCCACAGGTAAATGCTTTATATTATTTTTTAGATTGTACGCACAACAGATATTCTCATAGTTAGGAAGCTTAGAGTGGTTAAAGCAAGCACAACCCATCGTTTTTGATAGTTTCCATTTCTTTTGCAGCCTACCTAACAGAAGGTCAAAATCCCTTAAGGGGAGATCATCCCTGAGCTTCTATCGCAGTGCAGGATGCAAAGTCCCCATTCTCAGTAAACAAGCCCTAAGCAAGGTCACATTCCACAAGTCTTTGCAGAATGTCTTTAAAGACTCTTTTACTATAAATACCCTCATGCAGACAATAGGTTTTAATAAAAGAAATTCAGTAATTTAAAAATAATGATAACAAAAATAAACAAGAAGGTGCATTTGCTGCAAGAGGGTACACTCGGGTTTGTAAGCAACTCCCTTCTTCTGACGTCAAAAAGTCAGGAAGTCTATGTAGAAAGCTATGTCTCATAAAATAAAATAAAAAAAAAAAAAAGAAAGATATGTCTCTGTCTCTGAGGTTGCTTCAAAAAAAAAAGGCTAGTCAGAATTGCCCCTTACTCATGTGATTAAAAAGTACAAATGCATAGCATTGTCTCGCCTATTTTCACTCTCCAAAGGGTCACAGCTATGATTTGATAGAGCTACAGCTATCAGGCTTTGCCCCATCATAAACACACACACACACACACACACACACACACACACACACACATTGTTGGCCAAAGCAGACTGATGAGGACTTGTGTTAGTGAAGCGAAAAATACATTTGTAAGAAAAAATAGTTTTAATCTACTAGTCAGAAGCTACAACTTACTCCTAGATAACAACTGATCCCATATGTCTAAAGAAGCAAACAGTACATCAGTGCTTCTCAAATGACTACATATTACAATCATCTGGGGAGCTTATAAAATGTAACCAGGGACTCCAGCCTAGAAGATTCTATAACAAGGGACTGAAGATGGGACAGAAAGTAGAGAAAAGAGGAGAAATTGCTTCTTCTTTTTTTAAACTCCGGGAATGACTGTGATTTCTAGCAAGCTTTGAGGCTTTTGTAATTCTTTCTCAATTGTTAGACAGTGTCAGAACACACAGACTTAGAATTTTACTGAAGATCTGCCACACACCTGACAGACTCTCATTTTCTTTACAAGTAAAATGGAAATCTTTCTCAAGAGCAGGTGGAACATTAAATGTGATAGTGTGGACTATGTATTTAGCACAGTATCTAGTAGATAATAAATGCCATTTCCTTTTTTCGACTTAAATTGAGGTTTTATTTGAATACTTAAAAAGCTAAGGCAGAACAAAAATCTACATGTGGCTTACCATTCTAGAAATGCTATTTCAAGGTTGAGCAGAGTCTGGTTTCTATTACACCTTCTCCAGCTCCTGGCAGGGAGGCCCTGAATACTGAACTAGGCATCTACAACTCTTTATTGATTCAGAAATCTAGACATCAAAGCCGAGTCCGCTGAGGCTACCACAAGCGTCATCTTGTGCCAAGAAGATAATGAAGTGCTCCGCTTCCTGGCTGGCCTCTGGCCTCTGTGACCGTATGCCCTGAGGAGCCAGGACAGGTACTCCTGAGGTCCTCTTGTGTGTCCCAAGGTGCCCTTGTGATTCAATGCTGTGGTTTTATTTTAAGCCCAGGGAACTGTCACCTTATAGCAAAGGGGAGCTGACTACAAATTACATGTAGTATTATGAAAGATAAGGTAGAAAGGAAACACAGGGCTGGAGCCAGAGGTCCTGGGAGGATCCAATACCGCTCGTATCACTGACTTAGGCAAGGCAGGCATTTGTCTGAGCTACAGTTTCCTCAACTAAAAGTCAAGAGTTTGGACTGTATGATCTCTAAGTACCAGTCTAGCTCTAAAACTCCATGATTCTACATATGATGAAACCAGTATTCATCTCATAAATCCCACATCCTGGTTGTAAATTAAGCATATCTTTTAAAAATGAGATTGTCTGATTATTTTTGGACACTTTATAAATGCAAAAGATATTTTCGAGTATTACTTTAAGTCATGATTATTTGGCTCTGAATCCTCCTTTTTTGAGAACTTTCACCCTTTTGCCTTTAATCTAGTAAGTCACTGCAGAATCTATTTCACATGCAACCCATTCCCACCAAATGGTGTGAGGCTTCCTCTGTACTCTCCCAAATGAATCCTTCACATGGAAGAGGAATGCTTTTACATCCTCCCTATTGGTAGGCCAAGGGCCACAGTATCGTTTGGAAAGTGCCTGACAATTACAAAATATATTAATTTGTTTGAATAACAGATACAGAACTTCATTCTGAAAGTTCAGCTTCACAAAACAGTAAACCCAAACTGTAGTTCACCTCCTTGTATCACATAATCCTAGTCTTCCATAATTTTCAGATCATTTTCACATACATTATCTTATCTATCACAATGATCCTGTGAGTCAGATATTACAATCCTCATTTTTGTGATAAAGAAAGTGAAGTTCCAGGAAGCCAAGGTTAAGCAGCAGGACAGAGATGCAAAGGCCACTTGCTAGCTCCAAGTTCAGTGCACTTTGCCACTAATCCACAGTTACTGCTCTCTTATCCTTAGTATGCTTGAGAGAATCAGAAAACTGCTCTCAAGATTTCAAATTTTAAATCCTGGGAAACCACTAAAGTATTGGCTTCTGGCTACTTAGAGAGGCCTGCTTTCCTAGATGCATATGGGAAGAGGAGTCCTCAAACTCTGTCTAACCCAAAGAAAATATCCTGAATTATGGGATAGCACTAAAGCCTAACGGCAGGAAAATGTCCATCCTTTGCCCCACCTGACTGAAATATATCAGTTTGGGAGGTTAACACTGAGCCACCTATTTTGATCTGTCGAAACAGCATGCCATCCACTGTACCTTAAGTGGCTCTTTTTCCATGACACAATGTGAAACACTGTGGAAACGATGAAGAGGGCACAGAGACCCATTCCATAAATCCAAGCTGTTATCTTTTCCCAGCAGTCATCAGACAGCCGATGGAGGAGAGCGCTGCCCACAATGGCCGGAACAATGAGGAACTGAGTGAAAGGTAAAGAGAAATGAATATCCTGGCTTTTATGGAAAAGAGAGTTGTTTTTTTCCTAAATATATAGAGGTTTACAATACGAACAAAACAATTTTGAAACAAATATTTGCCTTGAATCATCCTGAGAGCCAGATGAAGCTGTTAGTTGGAGGACTGGAAGTGAGCACTGCTGTTCGCGGCCCACAGGAGTGCCAATCAACAGACACGCAAACAGGCAAAGACGCAACATTTCTCAACTGTTGCAAAACAGATGTTTTTTATTCTGATTTCATTAAATAAGGGCACATTTCAGTCTACTCTCTAACCTGATTTCGAGTAGGTATTTCAAATAATCAAATATGAAGCATCTATTCAGATTTCCCAGTGAGATCCTCATTTAAAAATATTCTGTCCTATTGCCCCCACCAGCTACTGAAATTCCAATATTTCCGGAAGAATAAAGGAATAAATCAATGAGTAATACAATGTATACAACACCCCCAACACACACATACACACACACACACACACACACACACACACAATATCAATTATCTAAGATATGTTCTGCTCATTAGTTTGGATCTCTTCATTCCACCAGTTTGGGAGCTATTTTCAGAGTAAAAGCATTTGGGGATTATTTAATTTTTAGTAGTACCTTTTAAGTAAGCAAGAATAACCCATTCCCAAGGCCCACCCATTCAAGAAACCAGAAATTTTAAGAAAAATTTTGCTATCTGTACTATACATAAAGAGTACATATGGACACAAATTCAATGTCTAGCCGTGAGTATGACTGTGACAAGTAAACATTTTATAATACAGAAATTCCCCAGGAGAAATAGACTACTCTATTAAATATTAAAATATGTATACCTGGAAAAGAATGAAAATTTTAGCATCACGATTTTCTTTTTTTGGTCCCCAACATCTCTTTTGCCCTCTTGCAATGGAATATTAAATTACCCTGATGGGACAGGTACAACTCTCTTGATGCCAAAGTTTTCATTGGCCCAGAACAAAATGAGAACAGCAAGGAAAATAATGTAACTTTCTTATACAACAAAACCCATTTGATTTAAGAAAATGTTTTGAAACTATGTCCTTTCTATTTTATTTATGTTAAAGTATCTTCTTTTAAATGAAATAATGATGAACCAATTTTGGTGCCTAAAATCCAAAAATCTGGGATATAGTTTAATAAGACTATATTTTCTGTTCTAAAAAATTAGCATGATCAGCTTTTCCTGAATTTGTTTATAAAAGTGTTCCTTAACCTGTGAAGATACCAAGATTATTTGGGTCCATCCTAAACAAATATTATTCCTAAACGTGAGCTGCGTATCTCAATATCCAAATCATTATACTGCACCAATACTATCCATGGTAACCACACTGGCTTCTTCTAAACACTTGCCACTAATGGAATAAATTGTCTTCTCTATTGTTTCCAGACTATATCTCAGCCACCATTTTCTTCTCAGAAGTCTCACACAATGTAACTTTCAAGAAAATAATAAAACCAAAGTGGAATTTATGATCATGTAAGAAAAAAATGCCAATTATGTGACATTAATAGGAACCCTATGAATAATAATAATATATAGACAAATACTATACACACAAAAGGAAGAAATGTACCAAAGTGTTACCAGTCTATTTCTGGGTCATTCTGTTTGCTTACATATTTGCCAGTATTTTTCAAATTTCTTATCATGAGCATGTTTTGCTTTTATAAGAAGAAACTCATCAAGAGCTTAGGGATCATATCAACATTTTATTTGGGGAAGATCCCCAGCAGTGGAATAGCAACAGAAGGGAATGGGATTAATATGAGAAAATGGAAAAATGGGAACAAAATCTTTGTAAATAGGGAGGACTGGAGGGGTTGAAGGGAGGGCTGGGCAAGGGTGAAAAATAAGAACCAAGAGAGATTATGTAAAGGTGCAAATTTCCAATGATGAATGTCATTATATTGTATACCTAAAATGTACCAGTGATTAGAATGAATAATCGATAATGTAAAACAGGAAGAAAAGGTCCAAAGGGGTAGGGGTAGTGGGAGGGGCAGGGGAAAGGAAAGAAGGGAAAGGAAAAAAATGATGAGAAATGGAAAAAAATGGAAATAAAGTCTTTGTAAATAGGGAAGGGTGGAGGGGGTGAAGGGAGGGCTGGGAATGGGGAAAAAATGGGAACCAAGATGCATTATGTAAAGGTACAATTCCAATGAGAAATGTAATTGTCTTGTATACCTACAATGTACCAATGAAAGAATTTAATAAAAAACAACAACAACAACAAAAAACCATTTTATTTGGTAATATGGAATAACATGTTCCAAGAAGCAAGGGCTACTGTGAGGGTGAGAGGACGTAGTTTCCTATTTCAGAAGTTCACCTAGCAAAAAAACATCTTTTTCAACCAATTGTGAACTCTCCTTGCCAAATGCACAGTGGATAGTTATTTCATTTGAGGGGTAACAATCTTCATAAACAAGTTTCTCTTGTTGTCTTATATCCAGGGTACACAGGTCTTTGTACTCTTTTAAAGGAGACTTGTTTGTGGAAGGCAAGCCCAGGACAGAACAGAGCAGGTCAGAACACAAAGCATTCGACATGTTCACCACTCCTGTTGACAGGACCACCACTGGGTCTGGTAGCTAAGGTCACCAACTAATTGTGCTGAGGACCCTGGAGACAATAACCCCTTCCTCCTGCTGAATCCCTGTGGGAAGAACAGCAATAGCAGAAAACTTATACTCACTGCATGTGTGTAACAGTTAGCAGCATGTTCATAACAAGTTGGTTTGTAGCGGCCATTAGCTGGGGCCCGGTGGTTCATGAAACTGCAGAAACAAAAAGCCATCATGTGAGAAATGCTTAAAGCCTGTGAAGAACAATGCAGAAGCCTGCAATGGTTGTTTGGTCTTTTCTAAATAAAGGGGTCACTACTGAAAATATCTCCTTACCAGAAGAAAACTAAAGCCATTAAAAAGTTATAGACTGGGTCAGCAGCAATGGTTCTAAAGCAAAATAAATGTTCTGCTTTATTAGATAAAGTATTGTTTCCATTTACTCAAAAGATAACCTTACACCACCCAAAAGCAATCAAAAACTATATCCGATTATTTCACTGGTACCCGTGCAATCATAAAAAGAAAGAAACAAATAAAAAAAAAAAGCCACAACCAAATCTGAAATCCTTTTTATGTGTGTACAGTGCTGGGGACTGAACCCATGGCCTTGCATGTGCTAGGCACATGCTCTACCACTGAGCTACATCCTAGCCTTTATATCTTAACAGATTAAAAAAGGGAATTCTTCTGCACATTAGCCACTGTCATTAAACGAAAAAGGTATACACTGCGCTTGAAAGGTTTCCATTTTCTCTCTCAGAATGCATAAAGCTTTACTTATGCAGATATTAAAAATCAATGTCCATGATGAAGAGGCCTGTCCGACTAGTTTCCCTATACTGTATTACCTGTTCCAGCACCACACCACTACCGTGATACCTGGCTACCTCTAGGCCACCTAAGCAAGGAGGTATATTTTCACTTTCATTCTTCCTGAATTAAAAGGGTTTGCTTCAGAAATCAAACATGTATGAGAGGCTGATATTGTGTCTATAAGTTTCCCATGTACACACAAATGAATGTCTGTATTGAAATATCAACACCTGTCCCATACACAGGCCCATGCCCATATTCCATACTTTCCCTGGGGCTAACTTTTTCCTAGTCAGCAACAGAATGGAAACCTGAATGCCACAGGATTAAACGAAACGGCAGCAGTCTTATTTCAGGTGAGAATGCCTCCCCCATTGCATACCCACACTCACACCCACACTGGGTCTCCTGGGGGATTCTGGATCAGTCTGACTGCTCTAAGGAGGTGCAGAAAAGCAGCTGTCTAAATAAAAGAGCAAAGAAGCAGATGCAGAGAAACAAACAGGTTAAAGAACCTTGACAGCACTCAGGTCTCCAGCGGCCATCCTGTCAGCAGACTTTGCACAATAAATTATCCTTTTGCTCAAACTGATTTGGAGGAGGGGGGTGCTTTTTACTACTGATGATTTCTCGATTAGTCACACACTATTTACTGATATGATGGGCAATAGTACCAGGCCGACAAAATGGCAGAGCTGTGCTGCCCAAAGTTGGCTAAAACCCACAAACGAGCAATTCTGAACAAACCCAGGTTTATGAGCGTAAGGCTAACACTACCTCCCTGATTAAGAAGGGGCTGTTATCCTTCGATCAAATAAATAAGAAGTAAATGGCAGTGCTTGTTAACCCCATAAATGGTTTGGGTGGAATATCTACAGGATAAATTTGGGACAGTGAAGATATTTCTCTGGGGCTACCAATGGCTTAGATAACCAAAATAAAATAAGAAAAAAATAACTATTTACTGAGTGTAATCCAACAAATGACTTGAAACTGTCTAGAGAAATATGCAGCTAGCAGCTTCTGAATTTATCCAAGTTATTTTTGTACATAGATAAATAATTTTAAGCATCATCCTTTCTCCCTTGATAATCTTCTAAATAATTTCACTAATTTCCTAAGGGATGAGAATGTTGCTATACAGTCCTTATTAGTAAAAAGAAAAATAATTACCCTCTTGGGAAGAATGCTTTATAAGTGCTCCAAGCACTGAAGGATCGACCAAATCGATACCTTGAGACATAACAACAATCCTATGGACAGCATAGCCTAGCGGGAATGTCAGAGTAAAGGGTGAGTCTCCAAAAATGGTTGAAGCTGGATTAAACTCAAAGTGCTCTGTGGAGGATACAGTAAGGAGGATTTCTCTACCCACTACCAGGCTGCAGACTAAAATAGCAATTTATATCTCTGGCAGGCCAATCTAAAAATAGCCAGGCCATTACACAGCAACAGGGACAGACTTTCACATTTTCTCCCGCAAGCGAAGAAGCTGGTTGGTTGGGTTTCTGGCAGCTTAGTCACTGCCCACCTGAACCAATTTAGGTTAAACAAAGTAAGAAGTTGTCAAAAAACAAAAAAACAAAAACGGCCCATTCTAGTGACTTAAGGCAGTGTCTCTTGATGGATGGTGCAAGACTTGGGCCATAAAGAAAGGTGACAGCAACTATCCCGCAACATTTTAATGTCTGGGGCTCAGTGGGATAGACAGCATAACTGTTCTTCTGGGAAATTATAACGCAATTTTTCCATTTCTCTCTGATCTGCCAGCGTGCAATCAAGCCTCCTCCACAGCTTTCTGAAGAAATCTCTTCTAAGACCGAAATGGAAGAGCAGATGTAAAATGCAAATAAACTCCCACACAGGAGCCTAAAGTCCCTCCCACCCCGCAAAAAAAGGGAAAAGTTCACATGCTATTTATGGAAGTCATCTCCACTTCAGGTGGAGTAACCTAGTGGCTACCTAGTGCTCCGAAAAGGGTAACCAGCTTGCCGTAGAGGACCTAAACAAAAGTGATTCAGTCCTGGGAATAGAAACCGTGCTTAATAAAGCTATTAGGTAGACAGGGTTTGTTCATTCACCTCACTTTCAACATTCTCTCTGTGTCCCCCTTGCCTAGCGTCCAGCAGTTAGGATGAGCCTAAGTAACCCACCAACAGGCCGCAGAGGCTACGATCAGACCAAATCCTGCGCTGCTCCTTGATTCCTCTGTGTTCTTCTTTCCCCTAGTGCAAGTATTTTCGACCCTAGCTTCCAAATCAGTCTGTTGCTCTTTACTCCACAGTTCCTACTTCAGATCAAGATGCCAACATCTCAATTCTGTGAAGATAGAACCTCTTAACTGGCTTTGGGGCTTTGTCCCCGTGCAGACTCTCTTCTTTATACAGCTCCAAGAGTCTATTAAAACCAGCTCATGCCAGGCATGGTAGCACTTACCTGTAAAACCTCTAATCAGAGGCTCAAGCAGGAAGATCCTAAGTTCAAGACCACCCTGGGAAAATCAGACCATCTCAAAATTTCAAAATTTCAAATAAAATAAAAATGGGCTGGTGGTATAGCTCAGTAGTAGAGCACTTGCCTAGTATGCACAAGCAATGGTCAGTATCAGAAACAACCCCCTGCCACACACAGCACCTCACACAGCCCTAGCCCACAGTGCTTAAGGAAGCACTGTGCCCCATCCATGGCCCACACACCCTTAGTGGGCTGGCTCTCACTATTCTTCAGGATGCCACCTTCCTCTCCCCTATCCTCCAGCTATGCCACCTCCTTTCTGCTCAGTCTACAAGTCAAGGTCTTACCTATGTCAAGGCGCAAGCTGTTTATTTCTGCCTAGTGCCCTCTTCCCCAGCATCCTCAGCTCTCCTCTTACCCATTCAAGCTTAGATCAAAAGTCACCTGCTCAGAGATTTCTCAGGCTCTCCTAGCTAAATTATGATTTCATCCCTCCCCGTCCAACCAGAATCCTTATCATAATTAGTAACAATTTTTTTTAAGCTTGTTTTTGTATTTCATCTTCCCCACTGTAATATGAAGTCCATGAAGGCTGTTTTGTTCACCATTTCCTTTCCAATACCAAGCCCAATGCCCAGCTTATTGGTGAAGCTTAGTAAATAATTGATGAATGAATGAATGAATGAATCAAAAAAGACATTCCAGTGACTGCTGAACTATTTCAACGGAGAGCTATTCCAGTCAATTTAGTTTTACTGGGATTCAGCAGGTTTTGTCTTAGAGTCCAAGGGCTCTGAATCTCATAAGAAAACTCAAAGGCCAAGTCAATAGCTATCCCAAGGGCCCTTCATTACTTGATGTTGCAACTTAAGCTACCCTGTACACGGGTCCTTACTATTAGTGCCCCTTTAGGACTAAGCAAGATACTAGTTCAGGAAGTGTCCAGTGCCAACAGTGGCACACTTGACAATTATTATATTAAAGGGTAATATAATATGTTATATGTTGGTAGACTCCCACCAAGAGACTACAACTATGATTAGTTGTTCTAAGAACACACTAAAAAGACAATACACAGCTCTGGAAGACTTCCCAATGTTTTAAACTAGATGCTTTCCCATATATTCAAATTTAAAGCAAACCACCAGTCATACATCTGGAGCTGAGGGACAGCATCCTTTCCCTTGAACACAGAGGTATAGTGTCCGCAGGAAGAAAAAAAAGGTGAAGTAGTAATCAGGGTGGGAGAGGGAGACGTGAAACTGAACTCTTGAGCCTGCCCTGTCCTAGCTGTGTGACTAGAGGCCTGTTACTCTTTAAACTTGTTCTTCTATTAAATGGATATTAAATTTATATCTTTCAGGATTACAGTTAAGGACAAGATGAGTAATACACAGGTACCCAATCCAGTGTCCTGGCATAAACAGGCTTTCATGAATGCTGCTGTTATTATCATCAGGCAGAAATGCTGTGAAAGGAAAGAATGACTGTTTATGTGTGTATGTGTGTTTAGGTGTCCTGGGAGACTCAACTGTGAAAAGGACAAAGAAAGAAAGAAAGAAAATATGCTGTGTCACAGTGGAACTTTTCACACCCTAAGCTTCTTGAGAAGCTTTGATTGTATAAAGCCCTCCACTTAGGATAGCAGGTTGTTTTACAGCTTTTCTCGATAAAAATGGCAGAACTCTGGATGCTGACCCAAAGCCACAATAACCACCAAATTTCCATTATGAACACACCAGCAAGGTGTTCTTGTAATTTGGACATAGCTACAAAGTATGGCCTAATAAAATGCTTTTACTGCAATCAAGTACTCCTCAATCGAGTACTGATACACGCATGAGGGGAAAGAGCACATCGGTTCAAAGGCAGTGTGTCTCTTCCAATAGTGTCTGTGTAATTTGCCTACCTGCAACTACAGTGAATGCTCAGAAGGGTGTGTAATGAACACAGCCTGACAAGGTATAGAATAGTATTTTCAACATTTTAACATGTGAACCACAAAAGTCAGGACTTTCTCGTCCTATTACTTTTTATTTGCAGGCTTTATTTACAAGATCAAATTGATGCTTAGAAATAGCTTTCCAATCTAACCTATTTTAGAGAAATAAGAAATTATGGGATCACGCAAATCTTCAAACAAAAATCAGGTTAGATCTAGATGTCACCAATAAAAACTGGTAAATATCCATGCAGTGCAATAATGTACAGCCACTGAGAAAATTAGTCTTTGCTACACCCAAAGAAAATGTCTGATAGTCTCAAATCACATTACTATAGTGCTAATAAGGACTAGAGAGATTACTGTCCAGCAAAAAGAAGACAGTGCAATTGGCTGAGATGGTAATTGTTTCCCTTTCTTTTAGCACTGTTTTAATGTTTGTGCAAAAACAATAAAGCAGGCTTTTTCTTTTCATACAAGAATTCAAATGGGTAGAAGAGAAATGAAAACTTTTTTTTTTTTGGTACCGGGGATCGAACTCGGGTCCTTGAGCTTGCGCAGCAGGCGGCGAAACCACTGAGCTAAATCCCCGGCCCTCAATCAACTAGGGAAGGGGTAATTTCACCCAAGATAGCCACTGTTCTCTAAAAACAGGAAGAGCACAGATGTGCAGACAAGTAATACCAAATCAAACAAACCGCACGCACAAAGCCTCACTGATCCTGCCTGACGGAATGTTCCATTCTGCGTTAAGACCCTCCAGTCTCAGTCCTGACAACAGGTTCTAAACCCTGGACGCCATGGTTCCCTTAACAGTACTGGTCTGAACTTCCTCCTTGAGGAAGAGTGCCAGGCGTTCAACACTCCCAAAGATGAGCAATATTCAGATGTCAGTCCAAGTCTGCAGGCTGATCCCCCTGACAGCTCGGAGCACCAAGCCTCTACCTTTCTGTTGGCTCTTTCACCTTTGGAGACTGGAGGCGGAATGAGATACACATAGTGAGTGAGTGGGCAGTTAAGCAGACGGAGTGGAAAGAAAAAAATATGCACTTTGAAATAAAAGGCAGTGTCAAAAAACTCAACAATAACCCCCTCGGAAGATTTCATGCATTTCTTCCAAATTCCTCGCCCCCGAACAGGAAGCCTGCTGGTGGTGAAGGTCTGGAAGTGAGACATCCGCCTGGTTCAGACAAAGGGATGGAGAGTTCCCACAAACACAGGAGAGGTGAACTTTCACCTACTTAAGTGGAACAGAAAAGCGCAGAGCTTCCTCTGGGAAGCCCAGCCAGCAGCCTCCATCCACCGCTGGTGGGCAGAGAACTGGAGGCGGTCGAGGCCCTGGGGGACCCGTCCTGCGGTTCCCACCAGCTCTCCTTCGACCTGCGGGCCTTCTGGTGGCGCCTCCGAGGATCCTCCTCCGCTTGGTTTCCTAACCCAGGCGCCCCAAGAGCAGGTCTCTCCACCGGAATGCTAGCTTGCTCCTTGGCAAAGCCCAAAATAGCACCGCCCTGGGACTCTAAGCCTGAGCCTAGCGAGACCCCTACACCTCAGGCAAGGCTGGGCCAGGAAGTGCGTGACTCAGTTTCCCCGTTGCGAGGGCGGTTCCCAGAAGAAGCACCGAAAAGGCCCGGACCATCTTGCCCCCTGCTTTACGACAGATCTCGCAGGGCGCTGTAGCGACCCCTGAGAGACCCCCCAACCCTGGGGTGAAAGGATGGAGGCCAGGGTTTAGGTCCGAGGACTCGGGGGCGGCGCTAAGCTGGAGCTCGGGTCTTCAGATCTAGCACGAGGCCCGCCTGGATCCGGGTCGGGGTCGGGGGACCGAGCCGGCGGGGGGGGGGGGAGCCAAGAAGGAAAAGCAGGCGCGGGGTCCGGGTGCGCAGCGCGCTCCTCGAGGAGGGGGATCGCCCGGGGCAGCCGGCGGGAACCCCGGGACCCACGGGGACGGGCCGGGCGAGCAGCGGGCCCCACGCTCGCACAGGCGCCCCGGGACCGGCTCCTGGCTCGCGGCGCTCCCTCACCGCTGGAATCGACTCTGGAACCGCATTGATCCTCCGCTCCTCCGCGCGGCCCCGGAGCTCCGTCTCGTCAGCGCCGGTGGCGGGGCGCGCGGCCCTCATGGGCTTGGGCTGCTCCGGCGGCCGCCTGCGAGCCCGGCAGAGCTGCTCTACCCGGGAGGGCCGGAGTGGGCCACGCCGGGGGTCGGGACAGGGCCGGGGCCAGACCCGGCGGCTGGGGGCGGGAGGGAGGCCGCTTAAACGGCCCCGGCACCTCCCGCCTCCCGCCTCCCGCCTCCCGCCTCCCGGCTCCTCCGCCCCCGGCAGCTCTAGCCCCGCCCCGCAACTCGGCCCCTCCCCGCCCGCCCCGCCCAGCCGCCTCACCCGCCTGCGTCCGCCCGCAGCAGCGGCGCGTCATCGCTCCGAGCGGCCAATCAGCGCCTGGAGCGGCAGGCAGGGGCACGGCCATTCATTCAGGAGGAGGGGGGACAGCGAGGCGGGGCCTCGCTCTGGGGGGCGGGGCCAGAGGAAAGGGGAGGAGCGCTGAAAGGGCGGTGCTTTCAATGAAGCGTCAAGATGGAGTGAACAGAGACAGAGGAAGGGGAGATGAATTATATAGGAGACAGACCAAGGCTCTTAAATGAAATTGTAGAGGAAACAGCAGCAAAGAAGGATCCCTGTCTGCCTTCTTGTCTAGACTGTCATTCATTCATCCCTCGTCATTTATTTCTCCAGTCTTCCATTCATTTATTCTTTCATCACTTTGCCCATTGCCAGAGGTTCCAGAGCAGATTTTAAAATCTTTGCTTGTCTGACATATGAAGGTGTTGAAATCTCCGTCTACGGCATGATGTAGACCCGAGATTTAGTGAGAACCACCAAAGGTGGAATCCTCTGCAGGTACCCTTTTATGTTATTTTCCATTTTAAAAAAAGTCCAAGCAGCTTCCAAGTAAATGAGCAAACTTTTTTTTTTTTGGTACCAGGGATCGAACTCAGGTCCTTGTGGTTGCAATGCAGGCGGCAGAAACACTGAGCTAAAATTCTGGTCCCTGCTTCCAAGTAAATGAAAAAGTAGACTTGAGTCAGGGCGCTCTTGTAAAAGAAGGGAAGAGGAAAATGCATGAAATTATTAGTTTCTTGACCCTTTCAGTAAATCCTTCCTGGAATTGAGGCATCACCACCATGTCCTACCCTGTCCATACTCCCACTCCTCAAACTTGAGACTCAAAGGCAAACTTTAGGCCCGCCTCTTCACAGTGTTTGCTTGTAATGAAGCATTGGAAAGCTAGAGAATTGTCTCCTGTGATTCTAGTTTCCTCTTTTTTTCACCTCCAAGTGCCAGAATTTAGAGGGGTGCTTTCCTTGAAGATTGCATTAGTCTTGCCAGTAACTCTTCCAGATAGACATCGTGTTATTTTTCTCACAGATAAGGAGGCTTTTAGAGGTTAAGAAACTTGCCAAATGCAAAACTAAAATTCCTATTTAGCATTCTAACATTAAAGTCCTGAATCTTTTCAGTACACAGATTGCCTCTCCCCAAGTTTTAAAGTAGTACAAGTCTTTTAAAAGAGACACTTCACTGCCCCCCCCCATTAAGTAGGACAATGAAAAAAAGAGTTGAAAGACTATGATTAATTGGTTACTTGGGACACCTGAGCCGAATGATCAATGGGGAATGGAAAGGTAACAAAGGAAGTAATTAATAAAAGTAGATTAAAATTGGCCTGGGGATTTAGTTCAGCGGCACCATGCCTGCCTTCCAAGCACAAGGTCTTGGGTTCGATCCCTGGCACACACATACAAAAAAAGTAGATGAAAATTAGCCATATGAAACAACATAAGGTTTAAAAACTTCAGTTGTAATAAATGTATCACTCCATTGAGGGATGTTGATAATGGAAAGGCTATATATGGGTGGGAACAAGAGGTGTATGGGAAACCCCTGTACTTCCCTCTCAATTTTGCTGTGAACCTAAAACTGCTCGAAAATTGTCTTAAAAAAAGAAAGAAATGAAGTACTAATACATGCTAAAACACGGATGAACCTTGAAAACATTGTGTTAAATTAAAGAAACCAGATACAGATTGGACTGTTATATTTAAACAAAATATCCAGACTAGGCAAATCTATAGACACAGAAAACAGAGTAGTGGTTGCCTAGGAAAAGGGAGAAGGAAGAGATGAGGGGTAGAAGACGGCTTAGAAGTACAGTTTCTTTGGAGGGCTAATGAAAATGTTGTAAAATTATGGAAAGGGACCTATAAGCCATTAATAATACACTTTAAAAAATAATAATACACTTTAAATGAGTGAATTGTGTAGTATATGAATTATGTCACAATAAGGCTGTCAAGAATTTTTTGACCAACACCAGTTTTTGTAAAACAACCAAAACTGAAACAGATTAAAATGTCTGGAGTATGGAGATGATCTTATTCTTGTTTGTGCTTCTTAAAAAATGTTAAGAACCACACACATACTGTAGTTGGCACTCAAGAAATAGTTATTCACATTAATCTGGTTTTTAAAAAACCCTGAAAATAACAACACGATGAATCAACAGACACCTGGCCATATCCTGTCAATTTAGGAATATGGAGAGATAAAAAGTGACCCCAGTGAGATGGGGATAATTAGGGAAAAGACTACTAGAAAGAAGGAAATCAAGAGACAGATTTTGAACAGAATGACAGGCACAACTTGGCATATCCTTTCACACACGAAGAATGGCTTGCAAGAAGATGAGAAGTGATCAGTACAGGAAAAATATGAAAGGTTACCTGGGTTTAGAAGCAGCCATGTCACTGATATTTACTCAAGAAAAAATAGTGAGATTTAAAAAAGATCAAATTTAAATAGGATAGAATAAAGTGCCTTGACCCACAGTGTTCCGCAGAAATGCAGGACTATTAACTGAAAGTGGCTTATTTAAACAAATCTGATCACAAATTAAATTAGCCTCATTGTTCCTGAATCTCACTTTCCCAGGTAAAACCAAGCCTCAAAAGACAGAAACAAAACACAAGAGACAGATTTGAATAAATGTATCGTGTAAGCACCTGCCACACTTTTTTAGTGAGGTGTCCCTTTCCATCTGTTTCTGGAGAGGAATCTCAAGTATATTTGCAGAAAAGAGGTACTAGAGTCAATCTAGAGATCTGAAGTCGTGGGAGCAGAAGACAGTGGAAAGTTTTTTTCATTAGCAAAATGTGACCTTTTTATAAAGTTCAGAGCTGGAGTACTTCCTGCAAAACTGCAGACACACATTTGCATGAACAAAAGACTGTGCCTTTAAGAAAGGATTTGTAATGGAGCAGACACCAGGTGCAGGGGGAGAGCACCTGCTCTGCTCACCAAGTTCCTGGACAAGATGCTGACCATTCTAGGAAACACCTGGGACCTGATCACCTGTCTGTGACCAGCCAATCAGAAAATAGCAGATCTGTTCCCAACTTGGACTCTAGACTCCCTGGGAAAGTTAACTAATCTTTTGATCTCAGACTGTTGCTGGCTCTCAATCTGTCCCGTTACAAATATGATAAAGCAACTATTCCAAATACGATAAAATAAGTATTTGAATGTAGATGCTCCCAGCGTTTCCTCCTTTCCTCAAAGGAAGAATGTTGTCTCTTCCTATTTGGTCTTTTGCCCACATTGCTGAGCTGTGAGTTCCTAAACGTTCCAGTTTCTAGACTTTCATGATGAAAATAATTGGAGAAAACAATGGGAAGAGAAAAAAGATCTGGGGGAAGAAATGAGGGAAGGGATTTAGCAAAGGAAGATGATTCATAGAACGTGGACTGAGAAGCACGAGAAGAAAATGAAAGTAGTTGTGCTTTACTGAGAGTATGTGTATTTTACCAAGAGTATATATCAGATGCTCTAGTATTTTCCAACAAATAAAGTATAAGTCCTTTTTTAAAAAAAAAGTATTATTATTCTCAGTTGCTTGGTTGTGCTGATTTGAAAGTTAACTCCTTTCTGGCATGAGACCACATGGAAGGGGGACACAATGGAAAGTGAATCCACAGATGTACTTTCTGAGTGCCTACCATGGTCCTAAAACTTTTATACCCATGATTTCACTTTATCCTTAAAATCATCCTGTGAGGTAGATAACGCTGTGTCTATTTTATAGACAAGGAAGTGAAAACTTAAGGAGTTTTGGGAGTTGCTTAAATTTCTAAGTGTAAGTGAAAAAGCCAAGCTCTGATCCCAGGTTTTCTGACTTTGAGATCATTGCCTTTCCTCCCGTCCTCATCTCCTCTGTGGCTGTGTCATATCTCACTGCACAAAGCAGTGCTCTATTCTCAGTGGACAATCAATAAGCGACATTCTGTTGGCTGTGCTTGTTATTTCCCCCACATCTGCTTTCCCCAAAGTTAGCATTATTTGAATGTAGGATATTGACTGCCTCATGACTGCTTAATCCTTCTGCTCCTGATGTTTCTTACTTTTTAAGGTAGAAGAAATGGGAAACCAGTGGAGGTAGTCAACCTTGATTCTTTTATTCTGCCAAAGCCAACCATGAATGGAAAAGTGGTCTCAGATATTCTCTTTGCTCATGATAAATAAGCAGTGATGGCAAAGACGAAGCATAATTCTTCTTGAAGAGAAAAAACCAGAGCATGCTGGGAATGTCCATGCATGTTTCTAAACTTGCACACACTGAAAGATTCTATCCTGAAACTTCACCTGTTATTATAGATCATCCAGATACAATGTATCACCACTCACTTGTAATTCAAGTTCAACGGGGCACGGGGCACTTGCTGGGACAAGACCTTGCACTTTCCTGATACAGTAGTGATTCTCTGTATCCATGGGCTCTGTAACTGCAGATTCAAGCAACTGTGGATTGAATACTTTTTTAATTCCAGAAAATTCCATAAAGCAAAACTAGAATTTGGTGTGCACTGAGGACTACACTGAATCCAGACAAGTGATATGAGGGGTAAGCATCATATTAGATATTGTAAGTAATTTAGAGATGATTTAAAATATAAAGAAGGATGTACATAAGTTGTTTGCAATTATGCTGTCATTTTATATAAGGGACTTGAGTATCCTCAGATTATGGAGTTTGGGACCCTTGGAACCAGTTCTGCATAGATATCAAGGGACAACTTGACTTGAAAGAAACACAAACCTAAATGATACTCAAGACACAAATAAGTAATGTGGATTGTTACTACACTAAGGAGATACAGAGTTTATATTGAAAGTAGGAGCGATCCACTGAAATGCTTAAAACATAAAATAAGGTGATCAGTTTT